ATAAGGGAAACAATCTCTGAGAAAAATGGCACCATAATTAACCACCAGGATAGACGACTGGAACGCTGGAAAGAACACTATGAGGAGCAGTTTAATTGGCCTACAGCCACGCTCAATCCGCCGAACATTCAACAACTCCCTGAATGGGATATAGACACAGGTCCTCCGTCGCTAACTGAGGTTACTAAAGCTGTCACTCGTGTGAAACAAGGCAAAGCAGCAGGATCTGATGGAATGACTCCAGAAGTATTTAAGTACCGTGGAGACAGTTTACTGTCTGCATTAACTGAGGTACTAGGCAGCGTCTGGGAATCAGAGGAAGTCCCATCGGGTTAGTGTAAGTCACTGATCATTCCGATATACAAGAAGGGAGACAAGTCTTCTTGTGATAATCATAGAGGGATTAGCTTGACTAATATGGTATCTAAAGTCCTAGGCTCAATAATCATGCGTAGACTAAGTGGCGCTCGGGAGGCATAAACACGAGGAAACCAGGCAGGCTTTAGACCAGGAAAAGGGTGCATTGATCATATGTTCACCCTTCGACAGATTCTAGAACATAGGCATTCCTACCGGCGTCCAACAATCATTATATTTCTTGACCTAAAGGCGGCATTCGATTCTATCGACCGAGAGGTTCTCTGGCGATGCTTGGTTGTAAAGGGAATGCCGAGAAAATACATTGCACTGATTAAGGCACTCTACTCGTATTCATGCAACCAGGTGAGGGCTTATGGCGAGTTGTCATCTGAAGTGGTGACAACTAGTGGTGTCCGTCAAGGATGCCCACTATCTCCATTTCTATTCAATTTCATCATAGACGTACTAATGGACTTAACCCTAACTCAATTCAGAGACTCAGGGATTGACTTGTTACCAGGGAATAATCTCGTTGACTTAGAATATGCAGATGATATGGTCCTTCTAGGCGAGGATGCTGACAAAATGCAGTCTTCTTAACACCTTGAGCTGCAATCTACGAATGTTTGGCATGCGATTCGCTTCCGCCAAATGTAAAATGATGTTACAGGACTGGACTACACTGACTCCTAGTTTAGAAATAAAGAGTGAAGTGGTAGAGCATGTTGATCGCTTCACTTATTTGCGAAGTGCCATCAGCCCCAACGGGTTGATCTCTGACGAAATCCCAGCAGGGACACAGATCGCTAGTTTCGCATATGCCAGTTTACGCCGTCTCTGGCGTAGACGTGATATCCGACTATCGACCAAAGGGCGGGTGTACTGTTCAGTAGTCCACCTCGTCGTCCATTATGGCTAGCTATGAGACTTGGCCATTAAGAGTGGAAGACATGAAAAGATTAGCTGTCTTTGATCATAGATGCCTGCGTTCTCTCTCCCGTGTCAAGTAGTATAATAAGGTGAGAAATACTGAGGTTAGGCGTCGAGTGGGAGGGGAAATCAATCGACGAGACTGTGAAATTGCATCGACTGAGATGGTTAGGACATGTGCTACGTATGCCTAGCCATCGCCTTCCTTGATGACGAGCAATGTTAGCTGACATAGAGTCAAGCTGGAAAAGAGCTAGCGGCAGTCAAATCAAAACATAGCACCAGTCAATGAAATCCACAACAGTTAGCTTAAGTCATGTTGGAAGGTTCGGACTTTCTGGTTGGGGTCCTCGGGATGGAAAAAACAAATAAGGCTGGAGACAATTGGTGATTTGGATCAAAATCGTCCTCGGTGAGGGCTGGCGCAGATACATCCACTCCTTGTGACTTACAATATCCAATAGAACTATATTGTTCTTTGATATATTACTATTCTTTTTGCCTCATATCTCTGTTTACTGTCACTATTTTGCATTTCTTTTTACTTTCTTCTCTTGCTTTGTGTGCTACAAGGAGGGAGTGTGGCAACTCGAACTGCTGCACATCTGTGCAAAGTTCTACGTTGAAACCAGTCAGTCAGTCAATCTTTAACTGATGTTGATCATGTATATATAGCGATAAGTACTACGACGTTTGAGGTTCAATCAACGTTTCATTTTGAAAGTAGGCGTCGTTAACCGTCGGATCTTGATTACGAATACTGCCACCAGTGACCTTCAAATAATAATATTGATCTAAACCTATACGCAATACCCTTGAAACATTCAAATAAGTCAATATATTAACAAACAGACACAAACACAGAGATTTGTTTTCGACTATGAAATTAGTTAAGTGGAACTTGGTTAGTGGTGTGTGTGTGTATATATATAACCACAAAACCAAATAAGGCAACTAAATTCGTTTGACGATTTCAGCATAAGCTGATATCAGTTAGAAGAGAGCCATTGGAAAACACCTGCAGGGTGTACTGGACAGCTAGCTAGCTGCTAGTTCACGAATGGCTCCTCAGCAACAAGCACCCACTCCATTGACACGGTTCGAACCCAAGACCTTCCAGTTATAAGACAAGTTAGATCGTAGACCATCAGGACACTGGGACCCAATCCAATGACCAGTACATGAATTCCAACTTCTGCCGCCAATTCACGCACGACACTAGCCAGGCAATGTCATCGCTGGCGAGTATTTGTCTTCACACTCGACCTGCTGCAGTAACCCATTGGTGGTCAGGACTTTTCACTAGAACCTAGGTACCTAACTACCTACCTAAGTACGCCTTGTAACCGGAAGCTCTTGGGTTCGACCTCCACAGCCAGATGTCCACTACTCCCAGCTAGTTTTCGAATGATGATTCTCTAACAGATGTCAGTTCATGATGAAATCCTGTAACCAATCAAATCCCTGTAAAAACCAACACTTAAATTCATTTTCCTCGAAAACCGACAAACTGGTCGAAGAAGCAGCAAAGACAGGACTCCAGGTGAACATAGACAAGACGGAGGTTATGAAAATAACCAACCAACAACAACAATAACAGCAGCAACATCCAGCGCCAACCACCATCAACAGGAGGGATTTGAAAGAGGTTACTTCATTCACTTATCTAGGGACCATTGTCTTAACTACAGGAGGAACGGACGAGGATATCAAATTGAGAATCGGGAAGGCGAGAAACACATTCATCAACCTGAAACCAATCTGGAAATCTTCGTCACTCAGTCTGCATAAACAACAAAATTCGGATTTTCAATACAAACGTCAAGTCAGTCAGTTCTTCTATACGGATCAGAAACTTGGCCAGTGTGTCACAAAGAATATTTCCAACAGCCTGTTGCAGACCTTTATCAACAACTGTCTTCGTTCTACACTCAAGATCAGGTGGCCGCCGGAAAGAATCACCAACAAGGAACTATGGGAACAAACAAAACAAGAACCAATCGCCCAACAAATATGCAGGAGAAAGTGAAGATGGATTGGACACTCGCTGAGGAGGCCGTTGGGTGACATCGCGCGTCAGGCCATAGCTCGAGTGGAACCCGAAAGGGAAGCGGCGAGTGTGACATCCAAGGGTGACATGGAGGAGATCGTGTGAAGAGGAGTTGAAACAGTATGGAATAACATGGATGCAAGTGAAAAGTACAGTAGAAGACAGAAGCAAGTGGAAACGTGCAGTTGAAGCCCTATGTTCCACTAGGAACCCAAGGGAACAGTAATAATAATAAAATTCATTTTCCTAATTGGACGGTAGAGGATGAATTGATTGATTTTACCCAACAATGATGAGATGAGCAGTTGGAATAATCATGAACAGCCTATTCTAAATGTCACATTGTAAGTGAATACAATCCGACTGTCTTTAGAAGAAGAAGTAGAAAAAATGTTAAACTAATATACTGTCCTATAAAAAGGCATACAAACATAGTTGATGCACAACTACAAAACAGAACTGCAGAATAAAAGCAACACAGACACAAAACAAAATATCCTTCCTATTTAACCAGAAAAAAAAAATTGCATGACATTTAGATTGTATAAACAAATGAAAAATGACACAAAAATATCATTTGTCAAGAGATGACATTAAAATATTTTCAAAAAAGAATGTATATTTTGCATATGACTTTTAATTTATCCTCTTAGAGATACTGGGTTAGACAGTCAGGTGGGAGAGAGAGAGACAGAGAGATTAAAGCTTTTTCAGTATATCAGCTAACAAGTATTTATCCCCCCCCCTTCTTCCCAAACACATGATTTTCTAGGCGACTGTTGGATCGGTTGGAGGATTCCATCATGAGCTGACAGGTTGGAGAACCATTAAAAAACCAGCTGGGAGTACTGGATAGCCAGCTGTTTCGTCAGCCTAGTTTGGGACTCTTCATCAGTACGCACCCACTGACAGGAGTTCGAAGCCACGATCGTCTGGTAACAAGGCCAGTGAGCTCGTAGACCATTCAACTAATGGGACGCTATCCACTGGCCTTCTTCGATGATGGGTACAGCAGCAGGTTGAAGGTGAGTCAGAAACTCCTCTAACCAATCAAACAAAATCCCTACAAATTCAATAATTGAAAACTGTTTGATTGACAAGGAAAAGAAGAGTAGAGTAGTGTGTCTCCAACAGTTCTACCAATTCTAATTGTGTTCTTGCTGCTGCCTGGTTACAAGGCGAGCTCGTGGACCATTAAGCCACTGGGACCCGATCCAATAGTCCTTGAATTCTAACTTTTGCAAAATGGTCGCGCTATGTCGTGAATTGGCAGAAGTTAGAATTCAAGGACCATTAAATCGAGTCCCAGTGGCTCAATGGTCTACGAGCTCGCTCGCCTTGTAACCAGAAGTTCCTGGGTTCGAACCCGGCTGTAGTGGGTGCGTACTGCTGAAGAGTCCCAAAGCTATAATTATTATTACTATTTGTATGTCAACTCACTCTTCTCCACACTCAAAAAAATACATTTTGCGCACATTTCATCACTTAGGACAGTGGAAATTCTAATCACAAGGGAAAGCAATTATTATCATACTTCCCTCAAAAGGAGCAAAAGACGGTAATCTTCAAGAAATAATGAATAAAACACAAATATCAAGCAAAAGCCATTCATTCACATACTACTACTTACCCATACACACACACAAGCACACAATCTTACCTCTAGGTTCAATATGACGTTGATGCAGAAATCGATGGTTGAGGAAACTCTCTATAACAAGCATTTACGCATAAAAAAGAAAGAGAAAGGAACAATGGTAAATAGGTAAAATAAAAAACAAAAATGTGAACTTAAAAAGAAGAATGTTATGAAATTTTCAGATATCATAATATTAAAATTTAAAAGGAAAACAATTTTCTCTTCTACAATGATTACATGTGTATTGCCTGATTTTGCCTCCGTGTCCACGTGTGAAAATCCCATTCTTTCCAGTACTATAATTCACACACACACATACACACACCATTTGCACTACTCAACATCACGTTGTTTGTTTGTGTTTTTTCTTTCACAACTTAAGAAAGTACACACAACTTAAAAAGGTTTTGTAAGCTTTAAGTGAGTGTGCATTTGTGTGTGTGTGTGTGTGTGTGGATTTAATTGTAGAAAGATCATGTTGGCAAGTGTGATTCATTGCGATGTGAACAACAGACAACATTGGGACTTGGAGTCCCAACAGCGCTTCACACATGCTAGTGTACCATAACATCTCGTATACTACGCCATGTGTAACCCAATATCGGGCGGGGGTTATTGAATCATATTACCCATTCGTATCCTCACAGTTGAAGTAATAACCTACATTTTCATTGGAGGTGGTCAACCGCAAGCCCGAATACCTGCTCACTGGTAACGTACGCCTCCAAAGCCTCAGGATGGTCGGGAGTGGGTGCCTTGCGCTGCGGGTTGGTCACCCCTCCGCACACCTCTTGAAATGCTCCCATATGACCGGGCGTCTTACATAGCCTCTCCTGAGGAAGTCCTACTCACTGCCTTCACGTGGCGAAGATGTTTCTCACCAAAGTGAGAGGGCGAAAGCGGATGCCCGGCGCTCTTCACCGGGTTGACTGTCCATTGGATGACAGTCTAGGGGAGATGGCTAAACCCTGATTCCAAACCTCCAACGACTGGCGTATGAAGCTCACTGGAGCTCACCGGCAGACGTATGGACAAAGGGCTTGTTGGATGTCCTGGATGTCTGGCCCCATTCAACAAGGCGTATGAACCGAACTCCGGTCACCGGCTGCCAATGGATAGTGGACTCCCTACTCCACTCCTACTGCCTTGTAGGTCACACTTGGTTGTGTAAAGGCTAGAGCTGCACTCTCAAACAAAAGGCCGAGCGATTCTGGGGACATCACTCGTACCAAATTCCCATGAAACTTCATGAACTCTCTGATGTTCATGAAGCCGGCTCATCCTCCCGTAGGAGATAGCCGAAGTAAAGTAAAGTAAGTAAGTCTCTAAGTGACTGCAGACAGGCACTGGGTGGTGATGACGATTCGAATCTCAAAAGGCACATGAGTTCCTTCCTTCAACGCACTGCAGATACTCCTGCCTTTCTGACTAGTGGTGGTGTCAGTGGTGAGCAAGGCTTCCTGCCGATTGCCTCCAACTATCTAAAATCAATAATCTACATTATTTTGAACATCACGTGTATCACAAAACACTACCCGCCCCCCCACCCTCTTGACCACCACCACCACCACACAGACACACACACAACCAACAGTAAAGTGTGTGTGCCACACTTAGCAACTAACAAAATGCCTCTTGTCAGTGTGTGTTTTTTTCTCTTCCTTCTCCATTTTGTTGATTGATTTCATTCAATATATATCACAAGAATAGTTAGTTAAGTAAGGATAATTAATCTATATTTGTGGAGTGTGTGCACACGCAACTTACTACTACTACTCTACGCGCGCATACACTCTCAATCACTCACACATATATACACATATAATAAATAGCTTTAATTAGCTAGCCAGCTAACTATTCACGAGATAAAAATAACCCAATATTGACACACATATTTATTTAGGTAGATTTAATAAAAACGTCACAGAGTATTACTAATTTTACCTTACAAATAATAATAATAATAATAATAATAATAATGTAATATAGTAGGTTAAGGCAGCCTTATAAAGTAGTTGTTGCTCAACAACACTGCTTAGTTACCCATGTAACTGTTAGACAGACACATCAAGGTGTCACCGGTGAACATCTGATCTACCGCATACGCCTCTCACAGCCTAATAGTTCATATACTGATATAAAAATAGCTAGCTGGCTATTTAGTTCCCCTGTTGCTGTATGGAGCCGACCAGGTACATACATTGATCGTTCAACGCGTATCCTCTGTCCAAAAGAATTCAAGAACACTATCCTGCATGGCTACAAAAAGGTAATGTAGTGGCTCTCTCTATAAGGGAGTGCGATCGTCGAACACCTTGTCAACACTAATCAATCCATCTCAACAAAAGCCTTCTTCAAAGTAATCTACATAGTGGGAAGTCGTGACCACTGGGAGTACAGCAGATCCGATGTGAGGACAAATACTCGCCACCGATGACATCCGCTAATGGTTGCGCCAAATCATGAATTCGCAGAAGTTGGAATTCATGCACTGGTCATTGGATCCGTTGGGTCTACGAGCTCACTTGCCTTGTAGCTGGAAGGTTCAGGGTTCGAACCTTGTTAGTGGGTGTGTACTGCCGAAGAGTCACAAACTAGGCTGGCAAAACAGCTGTATGGCAGTACTCCCTGTTGTTTTCCCAATAGTCATCTAACCGACGTAAGTAAGTTCATGATGAAATCCTGAAACTAATCATCATATCCCTGCCAACCAACAGTTTATTACTAATCGAAACTCTCTCAGTAAATTATTCAACTTCTTTCGCGCACTAACTTACACTGACAACTATTTTTTGACAACCCATCACCACTACCCTCATATTAATGACCTAGTTACAATTTGATTATTCATCACATTTTTTTTGAAATATTTTGATGACGTAAACAACAACCCTGTGAAGATCATCAACAGCACTCAGTATAAAAAAAATAACATCTGGATTTTCAACTCCAATGTGAAGTCAGTGCTACTTACTATACAGATCAGAGACTTGGCGCAACACCGCGTCTCGTCACGAAGGGCACTTCGAACAAACTACAGACCTTCATCAACAGCTGTCTTCGCTCTATACTACTGAAGATCAGATGGCCGGAAAGAATCACCAACAAGAAACTATGGGAACAAACAAAACAAGAACCAATCACCCAACAAATATGCAGGAGAAAGTGGAGATGGATTGGACACTCGCTGAGGAGGCCACTGGGTGACATCGCGCATCAGGCCATAGCTCGATTGGAACCCGAAAGGGAAGCGGCGAGTGGGACTTCCAAGGGTGACATAGAGGAGATCGTGTGCAGAGGAGTTGAAACAGTGTGGACTAACATGGATGCAAGTGAAAAGTACAGCAGAAGACAGAAGCAAGTGGAGGCGTGCAGTTGAAGCCCTATGTTCCACTAGGAACCCAAGGGAACAATAATAATAATAAGTGGTGAATGAATTCGCCACCAACAAGCAACTCTTCGCTGAACTACGTGTTTTATTTTTTATTCATTAATATTGTTTTTTTAGAAAAAACACTTAGAAGAGAAGAGAAGACAAAAAAAACTATTCATACCACATTTTCACTCCTAATAGATGCTTTTCTTAAGATGAAAAGTAAACCTGAGGCACTTACTTATATTTTGCTATTCTACTACTTTGCTTAGAGCTTAGCCTTCTCTTTATACGACAATCTCTTGTCTATAGGACTTGACAAGTATGCTTTAACAACAATAGGTAATAGTAGTAGTAATGATGAATATTAATTAGCATGTGACATAATTATTATTATTATTATTATTATTACAGATTACTTGAATGAATGAATGAGTGAATGATAATGCACGAACGACAGCATATTTATATAACGCTTCATCACTTACGAAAATCAATCCTTTCTGATGGTTTACGATTAAGCATTTTCAACAGTAAATCTTGTAGTGCTTTGCTAGTTGTGACAGGAATTCTGTGAAATAGAAAAATATGAAGGAAAAAAAATAATACAGATATGAAGATTTACTAACATCATAAAGGGAATTTGTAAGCGGTTATTTTTTAAAATTATTTTTGATTACAGCTTGATTCCACACCGTATTTTTTGGTACAGGTATCGAATTTTCAGTGTGTGATATCGGTAGTCTAAGTTTTGCAGGCCGACCATAGATATCAAGTGTCCGTCGGCAGGGGATCGAACCCCGGGCCATGTGCATGGTCGGCGAGAGTCATAACCGCTGTACCACCGACGCACTTTTTTAAAGGGAGGACCGTGAGGCCTCCCCACTGACAAAAACTACACGCCTGAGCGCACCCGATTAGGGTCCGTCGTGAGATTCAACCCACCGAGGTGCAATGGTGAGCCTCCACCCGATGTCAGAGCATTTTGATCACCCTGAACCCGGCGCCAGGTAAGTTAGATAGAAACATAGTAAGACTAGTGGAATAGCACTCTGTGTAATCACTGACATATATTTATTTAAGAAACGATACATATTTCACATAAAAGATATATATATATGCTAGAAACAACAGTAGAGAGGTGTCGACAAAACGAACTTTACGGTCTATTGGTTGATCGATCGCTGACGAAATTTCAGCATGCATACAGAAGGCTGGTTTGGCTATATGCATGCCAACATACACCATCTCTGGCTTAATAGACGTGATATATATCCGGTTGGTTACCGAGCAAAGGACCTGTGTACTGCCCTCTTAGCATCATTTCACTCCGTCCTCCTTTATGGCTGCGGTGAGTGAAACATTCGCAGTGAAAATGGAACACGTGAAAAGCCTGACTATCTAGTTGTATTTGATCATAGTTGTTTGAGTTCTATCTTCTGTTGTAATACCAGAAGGCAAGACAGGGAAGTCAAGGTATATTTTCTATTAATCAAAGCGCTGTTTATATAACTACAGTTTATTTTGTTAACCAATCATTGAACGTGTGACTTTGGCTTACATTAAATGACATGAAATAGAATGTTCAAATATACATAGTATTCTGTTGCTGATGCTGTACTGAACTGTGGGAATATGTGAGAATAATATTCCATTGGAACACAGTGTCCGTATCATACCACCACACCGTGTATGTTAAGTGGTGGTGGTGGTGGTATAACAAGATGAGGAATATTGACGTTATGCATCAGTGGTCGAGGGATAGGTAAGTGTAGGTAAGAAGGGGGGGATCAATCGACGAGGTGGTTGTGAAGTTACTACTACATCGATTGAGAGAGATGGTTAGGACATGTGTTACTCATGCAAGACTAGCTATCGATTACCTACCTCGATGACCGGAAATGTTAGCTGACTGACATAGGATGGATGAGGTTAGAAAAGAGTTAGCTAGTGGTGTTCAAATGAAAACATGGCTTCATCAGGTAATGATATCCACAACAGTTAGTTGGAACCAGCCAGTCATGTAGGAAGGTTCAAACTGCCTGAATGGTTGGCTGGAGTCCTCGGGATGGTAGAATCCAATGAAGCCTGTAGACGATTGGCGATATGGCTCAAAATCGTTCTCAATCAATGACAGTGGAGATGCATTCACTCTTTGCGATGATCATATCCAATAAAACTATTATTCCTCCATATTATTATTCTTTTCCCCTCGCTCACACTTCTATTTATTATCTTTCTCTCTCTTTTAAACCTTTCTTTACTCTCTTCTCTAGCTTTGTGTGCTACAAGGAGGGAGTGTAATAAGTGGAACTGTTGCACATCTGTGCGAAGTTCTATGTTGAAACCAGTCAGTCAGATGTATTGGATAACACAGGCAGTCATAAAGTTCTGATAAAGAATAGAGCTCTTACCATCTGCTCCAGTGGTAGGATGGTCTTAGAGCCATCCATCTATGAAAATCTGTCTATATAAGTGTTTAAGTTATTATAAACTCAATATATTAGCGTTCTAACTCGTATTGGATTCACTCGTTCATATTTGTATGATATATAGCACTTTAACAATTCAAGCAAATATATTTTAGAAACGATAGGGAAGTGGTTATGTATGATGAACCCCTACTTTAATACTGTCTTTTTAAGAATTCAGTTGCCTAGAACGAATTTTTCATTGTATCAGGCTGTGAGTCACACCTATCATGTGAGAGTTGATACTACATTGGCGAGCTGCTTGAAACTTCGGCTACTAAAAAACTTCCATCTCTTTATTGCACACATATTTTTCCTAGTTCGGTTTGTTTTAATCGATTAAGATATGACCTCGAGCATAATTGAAGTTATGTCTTATTCAAAGTGAAGCATTTGACCCATATTAGTCAGTTATTTCAGGCTATATCAGCTGCTACACTAATTGTTTGAGGGTTAATGATACTACCCAATTGTTCAAGGCTGAAATAGGTGAAGTAAGATTTGAACCTAGAAACCATTGGCTGGCTGGGAGTCAAATGTAAAATCTAATGGACTATATCTCTCATATCTCATATCCTCCCTTCTTACAACAGAACAACGAAATAAAGCAGAATTTATATAACGAATAGTACTTATTGGCCTCTACAAGAACTGGCGTGGAATAATGGTTTTGTCCACGCGAAGTAAAATACTAAGTCACATTGTGGTGAGAGATGGTTGCTAGTCAAATTGGTTGACAGTAATTGAGGTCAATGTTAGTCATGTGAAAACAAGGTCAAGATGGACAGGCGGATACAGTTAACATATAGATGAACTGACACAGCCACAAGAGATGCAAGGTTAACTTTGTGTGAGAAACTACCAATCAACAGACTGTATTTTCTACTAACATTAACCTACAATAATGTACATCAAAATCTATAAATATGTGTTGATTTTCCGTAATAAACGTTCTGTTGCCTGGCCCTTGTCTTCTGTTGTTACAACATCATCCTGGAGAGAGAGAATAAAAGATGTGGAACTCCGCCAACCGTAACAAGCTGAATTCAAGGAAAGGAAAATCATGTGATGGTCAAATTGCGACTCTACGCATCATCATCACAGAATAAAACATACAATATGGCAGTCAAACTTCTGTCTACCCTAACTTCATAGACTTCGAAAAGGCCTTTGACCGAGAAGTAATTTGAAAACTGGTTCAACACTACAGCATGCAGTGCCCAAGTCTTTATCAACCTCAATCAACAGCTGGCTAGCTATATGACAGTGCCACGTGTCACGTGATCCACAAAGGAAAACTCAGTGAAGAAGTCGTTGAAGTGAATACAGAAGTAAGACAAGACTAACTGCCCATTATCACCAATCACATTTCTAAATATGGTGGACCGTATAATACAGAACACTTTAGGTGGGGATGGAGAAGACAGGAATACGCTGAACCACCGATAAGACTCCAGAAGATCTGGATTTCGAGTGTGGATGATCAATGTCCAATGTTACATAAACTCAAAGACTTGCAGGCGGACGGATACAGACAAACTGGCAGAAGACGCGAGCAGGCGGCGAAGATAGAACTCTAGGGGAATATAAAGACGATGGAGCTGATGGAGATAACCAACCAACGAACCAACAGCAACAACGAGAACAACCAGCACCAATCACCATCAAAGGGAGAAATTTGAAAGAGATCACTTCTTTCACTTATCTGGCCAGGAAGCATCGTTTTAACCACAAGCGACCGAACGGATGAAGATGTCAAAGACAGTCGGAATCGGAAAGTCAAGATACACCTTCATCAATCTGAAATCATGTTGGAAATCTTCTGCTCTCACTCAGCCTCAACATAAACAACAAGCTTCGGATTTTTAACAAAAATTAAGTCAGTCAGTCGGTCTTTCTGTATTATTCAGAAACTTGATAGGTGTATCACGAAAAGCATTTCAAACAGGATACTGTCTTCCCTGGCTCCATATTGAAGATCAAATGGGGGACCCAATGGCCAGAAAGAATTAGCAACAAGAAACTCTGGCTGGCTGGCAACAAACCAACAGGCGACAGCCAATCGCTCAACAAATATGTAGGCGAAAATAGAGGTGGATCGAGTATACACCGTTGAGGCGACCGTCGAGTGACATCGCGAGCTCGAGTGGAATACCAATGGGAAGTGACGAGGGTGAAATGGAGGAGATGACAGATTATGGGCGATCTTGTGCCCAGCCACCTAAAGAGGACAGCAGAAGTGGAGAGATGTTTTGTTGAAGCCAGCCAGTCCTCTGTTCCACTCGGAACCCAAGGGAATAATAATAACAATACATAATAATATAATATACCTGTTGACTAGTAGTAGACGAACTCGTAGGCGGTTTTTGAGTTGTTGTTGTTGTTTTCTCAAATATGAAATTCAACCATACAATGGATTATTTATCCAGTTATTGTAATAGAGAAACAAATGTCAAACACATACACACACACACACACACCAATTGTTGTTATCACAAAGTGGATTGATTTAATTCTATGTGTAAGCACCGGTGAAGTAAATAAGTGCGTTATGCCAATCACGTGTACTGAACACACTCTCAGTTGTAATAATGATAATAATAATAATAATAATAGTAGTAGTAACTATCATTCGCATTACTATTATAAGCCCCCCACCCCACCCTACCCCACTCCGCTTCCATAAACACGTCACGTCACACCTAACTTATAATTTAACTACAAACTGCAATAGATTCTTATAACCACAATCGTATCACATGAATATAGTGTGAAAAGAGATTGAGTATTCTTTAACTCAAACTAAAAAAATAATAATAAAAACAACAATAATTAAAATGAAAAAACTACCCGCCCACTCCCCTTTTTTTCCTTTCCTCTCTTTTCATCTATGTGAGTGAGTGAGTGAGTGTCTGACACATATTAGGTAATCTGTAAAGTCAAACAACATGAATGAATGCCTGTTGATTGTGACTCCTACCGTCAATCTTACTCTGTCTCTCTCTGCATTACTTACTTGAATAGAAAATATAAAAAGATTTAGCATTTGAATATACAGCTCTTGGGTGCAGCTCACCCACGCACACTCCACCTACGGTGT